ATCATCCGCAAAGCAGCATGCGGAGAAGCTGAAGGAACCAGATTGGAGGGGTGTGGGAATTCTAACAGGCAATGCCCGACGGGAGAGAGGAAAAATAAGGGCTCAGTGTGAGATGTCATGTAGCTGTCAGGATGACAAGAAAGACAATCCTGGATTAAACAGAAGTGGAGAAGGGCTCGTTGTGGGCTTTGGAGGAGGGGGGGGGTCTGCAAGGAAGTGGCTTTGTTTTACAAGGAAAGGTGGCATCTCTATCCTAACCTTTCTGCACATAGGATGGCAACCTCATCTTTGACAACAGCCAGTCATTCTTGCATTGAGAACAAGCATAGATGATTGTATGGTGCGTTGGGTCGGGTGTCACGCCTGCAAGCCATCTTTCCTTTTGGACTTCAGGCCTGCCCCACTTTCTACTGTCTATTTTCTATTGTGGGAAAATGGGAGAGGGGATTATATGGAGCTGGGTGATGTGTAGCCATAATAACATTCTTCTTGAGAAAGCTAAGGTCATCCTTTGTCTCTGCACCTGGCTGGAACTGTATGGGTGGAAGCTGCCAGCGTGGCAGTGGGTGATTGGACCATGGGATGGACTGGTAGGTGTGGGGGGCAGGATCTTGAACTTTCAACTGGGTGGGGAAAACCGGGAAGCTTTCAGATTTGGGTTTCCCCAGATGTACCAACATGTCTCTCTTAATAAATTGGACCTTTGAGGAATGCTTTGCCTTGGACTCTGATTCACTTTTGGATGTTATTTGGAACTCTGACATCGGATTCCAAGCCTGCAAGAGATCCTTCCAAAGACTCAACTTCATGGAATTGCAGCCTTGGGCCTTTTTTCTCCTTATAGACAAAAGGGGAGGGATTAAGGGGACAATTCACCACAATTGGCCTGGGACAAGCAACATAGGAGAAGGAACTCCATGAGTGCTGATCTGTTTGGAGGAGACGCAACAGGATAGCTACTCTTTTGACAGAAATGCCAGAAGAAGTAAATTGCACGAGGGATGAGCACGCAAAGCCAGCGCTAGAGTAAGTCAGGTTTTCCCAGTCTTGGGAAGCTAAACATGTGGACTTCAGCTCCCATGTAAAGGAGACAATCAACAAGTCCAAAAGGGAACCAAAAGACCCCCAAACCCCTCCCCATTAGCAATCAGCATCCAGATGAGCACAGATTAACTCCAGGATTAACATCAGACCAACCATCAAGAAATAAACAACAAGGAACTGCCAGAGAAAGCCAACAGTAAACAGCTCGAGCCAAGAACCCTGAAGACCAACAACAGGACAATCAAGCCACAGGGATACAGCAAACCCCACTCCCCCCTGATGACGTATCCTAGTTGGGTCATGAAACATTTGCAAGAGAACTCAATTCTCAATCCTGAGCTACAAATCTCCTCCTTTGTTGGAGTCAAGTTGTATTCAGAGAACGCAGAACCAACCCAAGAGAGAAAAACTTTGCTCCAAAGATAATCGGGTGACCCTCTCAAGGCAATGGATCTGTAGCAATGGGTCCCATGCTGGGATCCTAGGGCGAAAATCAGAGTGCAGGCACCACCCTAGAATGCCTTCCCCCCGTTTGCCTTCTTCTCATGAGGACGTAAGCGTGTCCTTTGAGTAGGGATGCTAAATGAGACTCCGGAAGCAGGATCTCCCTTCCCTTGTGGAGCCCTGGGACAGATGTTATGAGCTATCAAAGCCCTCGCTTGCCTCCCGTTGAACCTCTGCAGCTGCACGAGTGGCCACGGCACAGATTAAACCTTTTACTTAACTCCTGAGGCTCTGCAATCTCTCCCACCACTAATCTGTTGAACTAATGAATTGCTTGCTGGCCACCATATTAGATTTCCAGTGCATGGACCTCATTAAGGAAGGAAGTGCGGGATAGAACCCCACCCCCTTTAAAAAAAAACAAATACAGGAGATTAGAAGAGGCTCAGGTAGGATTAAGTGAGCCCCCACCCCATCCTCTTCCAATTGCTGGAAATCCTTTAAAAGGGTTCCCACTCTTGGGCGGGTGTGGAGGAGCTGAATTAATGATCTGGTTCAAAGAAGGAGGCGGGGCTTTTAAGCAGAACCTGGAATCGCAGAGCAGGCTAAAATAAAAAACAGAAGCTGAAAAGAAAGGGGAAGAAATTCAATAATCTGAGCTAGCATTGACCCAGAATGGCAGGTGGTCTTCCCTTGGCGACGTCACTTTTGGAGTTTCAAAGCTCCTTGCTAGCTGCTTGTCCTGGGAAATTGTCTTTAAACATGGCAACTTGTGTCTTTCGGGGGGAGGTGGGGGGTTGGAAGACATTTCACTTCTCATCCAAAAACTTCTTCAGTCCTGGCAAACGTGACCTGGGATGACTGAGAATCTCCACAGAGATTTAAGACGTGTGGACTTCAACTCCCACACAGCATGGAGAATCCACAAGCCATAAAGTCCCCAAGTTTGGAGAACCGTGGTCTTGAATGTGGGGTCTGATTTCCAGCTAAGTTGGTTTTGGGACTGAATCAGCTGCCTCCAGGCACGCCTCTCCCTTGAACCTTGCTGAGGAACCAACGGAGGTCCTGAGGGGACACCTGTCCCTCCCTCAGGTAGGCTTCCTAGCCCCACTGGGGACTCCCAGCAAGGCACCGAAGCTCTGCTCTTCCCATTTCTCAGCCTCACTTGACAAAAAACAATTTTATTTCAAGTGGCTTAAATGCCAGGCTGGATTAGATCAATTGCCTCCTCCCCCGAGCGAGCAGGAAGCATTGGGAGAGACGTTCGGGAGATGCTGATACCTGAAGCTTCTCTTTCTGGAGAACAGAAGCTAAATTAGGGAGGTCCCATCCTACCAACTTTAGGACTTGTGGACTTCATCGCCCCAAATTCCCCAGTGGCAGCCTTTGGGGGGAGACAATGGCCTCCACTTCTTATCTTTTCTTTCATGGTCTTTACCCAGAAAACCACCACCTCCATTTTTGCATTGACCTGCATAGCGGTTTAAGAGAACATCTACAGACAAGAGCCGAGGTGGCGCAGTGGTTAGGGTGCAGCACTGCAGGCAACTTCAGCTGACTGTGATCTGCAGTTCAGCGGTTCTAATCTCACCGGCTCAGGGTTGACTCAGCCTTCCATCCTTCCGAGGTGGGTGAAAGGAGGACCCAGATTGTAAACCGCTTAGAGAGGGGCTGCGAAGGACTGTGAAGCGGTATATAAATGTTAAGTGCTAAATGGGAGGGGAGGAGAAGGAAGGAAAGGCCATGGTGGTACCGTGGTTAGAATGCAGTATTGCTGACTCTGCCCCTGCCAGGAGTTCAATCCTGACCAGCTCAAGGTTGATTCAGCCTTCCGTCCTTCCCAGGTGGGTAAAACAAGGACCCAGATTGTTGGGGGGGAAGAGGCTGGCTCTGTAAACCGCTTAGAGAGGGGCTGCGAAGGACTGTGAAGCGGTATATAAATGTTAAGTGCTAAATGGGAGGGGAGGAGAAGGAAGGAAAGGCCATGGTGGTACCGTGGTTAGAATGCAGTATTGCTGACTCTGCCCCTGCCAGGAGTTCAATCCTGACCAGCTCAAGGTTGACTCAGCCTTCCATCCTTCCGAGGTGGGTGAACTGAGGACCCAGACTGTGGGAGCAAGTTGCTGACTCT